CATTAGGCAGATAGATGTGGTTTAGAAATGAACCAAGGCTAATATAAACTTAGTTAGTAGGTAATGCATTTGATATAGGGTTCCTTTCGCTTATGACTATAACTTATTATGACTATAATTAAGCTTTCATAGTTGCCTAATTCACTATTCGATATAGTCTATTTATGTATGATTGCGTATAAACAACGCACGCACAATATAATGTAAGCTAATCTTCTTAGAAACACAATTCCTATCAATTAAAACAACACAATAATGTGTAATGTATTGGATGACATTCCCTCACTAATTGTTTGAAACAAGTCTCTCCTCGCCTTATTCGTCTCATTGTCACACTGAGAGGCATTCCTAACAATTCCTAGAAACATTCTAATTACTCACGTATTGCTAATTTCTATAGGAATCTGGTTCGTTTCTGTATAAACAACTTGTCTTATTGTTTTGATTTAACTTAACAGGTGGCTTCTACGTTACGACTACTGTGGCGATGTAATTAGTTGGTCAATTGTAATTGTTATTATGAATCTACTCAACCTTACTATTGTCGAACTTTGTATAAAGCGTGATGTGTAAACGTCGACAAAATGTCATGATCATCGTCATTGAAATGGTATTGTTTATATCTCTTCATGCGATAAGATGTACTCCTGTCGACTACCCAAGACATACACAGAATACTCATACGCACGTACCTACTCTGTAATTGACCTCTGAATAGATACTTTCTTTCTGAAACTGCTTTCTTATTTTTATCTTATTTCTAATCAAATAGAATGTGTTTTCATCTTTTATCACATCTCGTAACTCCATCGAGCACTTCCAGCCCTGCCTACCCCGTTTGACACAAACGTCCAATTAGCGCTCCTTTGACATGTAACACTATCAATCCATCTCGGAAGTGTGACCTCTCACTCACTCGTATGTAATGCTATATGTCTGTCTCATTCAGGCGTGCTAATGCGCAATCAATAATAATTATCTTCATGTTTGCAAGCAAGTGGATTGCATTGTGGTGTTAGGCTGTGGACACACTGAGGGGAAATGTTACAATATTTGTAGCACTCATTGTTGGTAGTTTATCTTAGTCGTAGCATCCGTAGCAGTAAGAAAATCGTCGAAGAATGTTGGTGCTACAAATTCATAAAAGATAGTAGAATACGTTTGCAAAAAACGTCAATTACATCGTAGACTCTTTTAAATATCAAATTCATGTGTAATTTTTCATTTATTTATAAAGCGCCAGGTTTTCCTAATCGATTTTTGATTCAGCAATATTTTTATTCTAGCCAATTTTCAAAAAATATCAGGAAATATTTCAACCTAACTTCAAAAAAAAAGCAATTATTAGTACTTTTCTCATCCCTACGCAGTAAACAGAAACCATACAACAGTACCTATGTATCCGCATCCTAAGTGAAGGTGTAGTTGTGTGTTCAGTGGAGTCCGAGTCAAATGTCACATGTTACCCGGATTAATTTGCGCGGCAATTACACGTCGCGCCATTGTACCGCGGTGTGAGTGTACTGTGTGTGTGTGCAGCCTTGTAAATCATAATGCCTAGCGTTTGTCATCTGTGGTGTGATATAGAGAGGGTAGAGAAAGTATGGATAGTTTTGTAGAATATTTGATAAAATAATAAATATATTGTTTAGAATGGATCTAATTCGCCTCGGGGTTGCAATCTGGTTGTTTTCTGGCGAATTTTCCTCAATGTTGCATATAGCGCTGAAAACAATTATTATTAAGTATTATTATTAGTCTCGCCTTATAACTATTATTAAAATGCTTAAAACGAAAAGGTAACCTTTCCTTTTAGATACGAATAACAAAGTTAAAATTATAAAAAACTTGCGAATTACTGCTCATAATTAGGTGCAAGATGAGAAATCCTGAAAGATTAATGATATCACCATTAACTTATGACTTAATACCAAGCATCAATATGTACTAAGTGCAACTAAACCGCAGTACCTATAGCACTTCCCACATTAACTACAAAACTGATTAAGCGAAATCGACTTCACTTGAAGTAATTTATCTATAATCATAAACATCAGCTGTTAAGTTGGAATATGAGAGAAAGATTACCTGTAATGGCATTACTATCGAGTTAAACCAGTTTAGAGTAATGACTGCTAATAGACAAGCGATCTCTTGAGTTCCTGACCGACTGCCGACTGCCGACTGCCGACTGGCGGCTCAATGAAAGTAATCAGTGGATGGTAGACTATGTGCTGTGGGGTTACCATCGGCGTCGAGACGACGATGAAGTACCTGGGACTCGTCCTCGACAGTCGGTGGAACTTTGTGGAGCACTTCCGACGTTTGGCTCCAAAGTTGGCGAGGGCGGGGGCTGCGTTTAAGCGCATCCTCCCCAACCTCGGGGGGCCAAACGCCTCCTGCCGGAGGTTATACGCCGGGGTCGTGCGGTCCATGGCCCTCTACGGCGCCCCTGTTTGGGCGCCGAACTTGTTGCGGCGTCCTGCTCGGACGCTGCTCATGTCACAGAGGGTCATGGCGATCCGAATGATCCGCGGATACCGCACGATCTCTGGGGAGTCGGCGAACCTCCTTGCCGGATTACCGCCGTGGGATCTGGAGGCGAAGGTGCTCGCGCGCGTGTATAACATGCGCGCGGAGGCACGTCGCCGGGGCGAAACTCCGCTGCCGCGCCAGATAAGTGCGTGGCGGGATGAGCTCCGGCGCGATCTCATGGCGGAATGGCAGCAACGACTGTCGCAACCGAGGGCTGGGCTCGCTGCCATTGCAGCGGTAAGTCCCCTCTTTGAGGAGTGGCTTGAGAGACGCTACGGCGTCCTCACCTACCGCCTGACGCAGGTCCTCACCGGACATGGAAGTTTCGGGAGGTACCTGTGTCTGATGGGGCGGGAGGAAACGCCCGGGTGTCATCACTGCGAGGACCGCCCTGAGGACACGGTGGAACACACAGTGGGAGAATGCCCTGCGTGGGCTGAGCACCGCCGTGCCCTCAGGGAAGTGATCGGCGATGGCGACCTCTCGCGTCCGGGCCTAGTGCAGGCCATGATGCGGAGCGAGGGGGACTGGGATGCCGTCTCCTCCTTTTGCGAAGCAGTCATGCTAGCTAAGGAGGAGGCGGGACGCGTGAGGCAGCGAAGCGCTGCCTCCTCGCAACCCAGCCATCGCGAAGGACACACCGGGCGTCGGGGATCGCGGGACGATCTCCGGCCACCGTAAGCGCGGGCCTGCGGACGGCGAGCATGGGTGGCTCCCCGTCCGACCAGAAACAGACCCGAGCGTACGGCGCGTCGCGTTCCGCGCGCGCCTCAAAGAGCCATCAGACCACCACAGAAGGGGCCCAATAGGGCCGATGCCGATTCGGAGTCGCGGAGAACCTAACGGGTAACCGGGGCTCCGGCTCGACGTGCAGGAGAAGGAACGGGGTGGTTTTTAGTCAGTAAGAGTCTGACACTCCCTTTCGCCTCACCCAGGCGGGAGCAGTCATTCGATGATTTTCCCCCCTTAAAAAAAAAAAAAAAAAAAAAAAAGACTATGTGCTGTGTACAGCTGTGCAGTTGGTCAATTGGTTCATGAATTAAAGTACATGAGTTTGAATGAAAATGGATATTTTCGTGAAATTTTTTGTTACTACAGGTCAGTTTCATTTTCAAGGAAAATTATTAAATGACCATTCAATACATATGTTTACGTTTTGTGTCTGTACTCTTTTAAATAAGAAATGTTTCATTTGGACTGCCTCGTTGGCCGAGTGGTCGCAAGTGCGACTGCCGGGCAAGGGGTCCCGGGTTCGATTCCCGGGTCGGGCAAAGTATTAATAGGTTTTAAAAAAAAATCTCAGTGGTAGCACGGAGTCTGAAATTGTGCCCGGTATATGGCAATAGGCTCACTCCCTATTACATGGGACTCATAACATAAATAGTGAAAAGTGGGTGTTACATTGTACAGTGGCATAATGTGCTCCTCTGCCTACCCCTTCGGGGATAAAAGGCGTGATGTTATGTTATGTATTTCATTTAGAAAATTTTGAGGAATCTCTAATAAAAATGTCATTAAATTAAAATACGTAAACATAGCGCCTTTTATTTGGCGGAGGCGCAAGTGAATACCTTATATATTTTTTACATTTTATAAGGCCCAAGTTCCAAGAGTCGAAATTGTTATTAATAATTAAGCTCTACTCATAATATACAGTGATATTGTTTGTCGATTTCACTACAAAGTGTGAGCACAACCAAACTCAACCCCCGCAGTGCACTGAGGGGTGATAACGACCCGACAGAAATGCATCCTTACGTGTACTTTACTGCAGTTTTACTGTTATTTTATGATGCACTCATTCCCACTAACTACTTCTACTACTTACACTTACTTCGCGTTATGAGGTTTTATTGTATTTGCTACCAAAATAATAGTCAGGCTTTCATTCAATCATTTGTTTCATAGCTTACGATTTGGTTATTTCTGAATACTTTCAACAATTATCAGGTTTTTAGTAGCCATGCCATTAAAACACAAAACTAGTTGTTTATTTCATTGGGAACTGCAACTTCATTGGTCAATCATGATAATATTTCTTTATGAAGTACCAACTTCATTTCTGTAAAGCGACATGGCGATGCTCGTCACTGAATAAAAAATAGATTCGAAATAAGCCTGTAACTTGATAATTCCCGACAACCGTGCACCTAACATCGATATCGACATTACCCCAGCACTGGCAGCTCCCTCGGGCTGGGATCGATCAGCTCGTAATTAACTGTTTGTTAACCGATACACTCGCGCGATTCACACACACCACACACTCCCACTAACTCACACGTCCCCTGGCAACACCACCTCCGCTCGGTACAATACCCGACTCAATGGAGGAAGTTCAAGGGTTAACTTCGGGTATTCGAGGTTCAATACTCTTGTAAACCCTAGCTAATTTGACATTCCAATACCTAAGCAACAGTCAACAGGTTAATCGTGTATTAACAAATCTTTTCTCTCAATTCCAGGTAAAAATATGGTTCCAAAACAGAAGAACGAAATGGAAGAAGAAAGACAACGTAACGAACGCAGAAGTAGCAGAAATGAAGCAACAGAACAAGCCAGAAGAGAAGAAAGAAACGCCACAAGAAGACCCGCTAGCTCTCGACATGTCCAGGAAAACTTGCAACAAGTTACTCAGCGAGAAATTAAGAAACACTAAAGTTAGTCAAGTTTTAACCAAACCGAGGAAAGTTGAGAAAGGTGTAATTTTAGAAACGATATGTGATTCGAATGATATCGAGAGCCGTATATCGATAACGAAAATTACGAATAAGTTGTCGAGTACGGACCTCTCGGGTGACGGTAAGGTCTCCGTCAAGAGCTTCAACCCTGAAGAAGTGAAAGAGATGAAGTTTGATAGTCTGAGTAATGTTGAGATGTAAACTTTAGGAATTGTAGTTAAGTTTAACTTGAGGTCAGTGACTACTTTCTTGGACATTAAACCAAAATACCTTTCACGTGGAAAGCAAAATTATCAGGGTCATCAAAAAGATGTTATTACATAATATTAATTAGGTGTTAGTGGAGACCGTTTAAATTAAATCAGTTTTATCACTCGTTCCAGAAATATTGTATCTAATGACAATGATAATGTGGCAAAGAAATATATTTTATTTCATTAAAATCAAAAGATGTGGTGACTGATCTGTAAGTCTGTGGGCTCCATCTCATTGTATAGAAACTTGAGTAACATATTAGGATATTGTTTAAAAAGTTGATATTAAAAGCAACCAAAAGAAAAATGAATATTTAAAACTGCTGCTACTACTTAAATTATATTATTCTGAAGAATTTGGCGGTGCTCTATCATGCTCCCAGTTGTCTAAGCAATAATGTGCTGGAGCCCTATTTTGTAAATATTTTTGAGTTTGTGTGGGTAATTAAAGTTTTTGTACAAGCTTACTTTGTGTATGTAGTCTAGATACAATAACATTTTTGTTTCGGTTTGATGTTCGCTAATAACTTAGGAACTATAAGGTAACGCCATCTGTTGGCCAAATCTCAAAACTGTGTGTATACGAGTGTTGCCAGATTACAAAAATAGAGGCCAAGTCAAAGAGTTTTAACTTGTAAGTACAAAATGCATTGTGTTCTTCGTTATTAATTTGGCAACACTGTTTCATAGTTGTAAAATAAAGCTTTTATCATTTTTTATACAGTGATTGTAATAAACGACATTAATAATATGTGTTTATTAGTTTTGTGCAATAATCTTATAGTTATTAGCTAAAATAATTACTTATTTTGAAACATTATTTTAAATGTTGAGCTGGAGAAGTACACACGATTTTCATTGAATGTAATATTATATTTATTTAATAAATACCTTTATCATATTACTAATTTTTGTATGTATAACATTTTTGTTATTGTAGACCATAGATGTAATATTCAGCTGATAAAATAGTACAAACGAAAATCAATAAATGTGCGATAAAATTAAATACGCTTTTAATGAAGTAATAAACTAGATTACTACTGCCTGTAAAACTATTGTCCTTTTTAAATAGTAAATACTTTACAGTACACAATTCCATAGCATCCTATTTTGTCAGTTAGTATTAATTTTAAAGGTCCATTTTTAAATAATAATAATAAATGTGAAGTTGGAAATCGGAAGACAAAGAAACAAAAATTTCCGTTCAAATAGATTGTCCAAAATGTCTTCCGCTATTGATATTAATTATACTTTACAAAATTAAACTCATAACCGACTTCATGATACTCGTAAAGACAAAAAAACTTTTAATGTTTATAAAACTCCAAACCTAACTAACCACCCGAGCAAACCGTTAGAAATACTACAATTACTTAAAAAGAAAATTCAGCCATAATTGTAATAAATATTTTTTTATATAGCAATACCTAATTATAGAACGCCTATAGTACATCCTACCTAGTTCAGTATTTAAAGTCAGAAATATTTTTGAAGCTTAATAACTTAGTGCCCTATTGTAAATAATATAAAAGTGAGTGAAAAACAAAATTTGTAAATTGATATCATTAGATATAAAATATTTTAGCATAGTGTCCGGAGAGCGCTGTACTCATAATGATGTAGCTCTAGTATACGTATAGTGACGATGAGAAATAAATAGTTTTCCATTATTTTATCATGTTTTACTTCCCCTTTGAAAATTAAGGAAATGTTTTAAAAATTGTATTACAATTGAATAAATAATGCACACAGATAATTTTAAAGTCATTTACTGATGAAAACAAATATAGCAAGAATTCTTGTATTTAAAAAAAATGAAGACATTCCTACATGGTTGGCAATGCACTGGTGATGCGCGTTGCGATGAAACTGTAACTATATCTAATAGCTCGTAACCCGTAAGCTTTATTGCAGTATAAATAGCACTATTGCAGTAAAAAACAAGTTACACTAGATTTTTACAGAAAAAAACATGATGTTATTATTTGGAAGTAGCGTTAAAAAGAATTAAAGTTTATCACAAATGTTTAAACTAGAAAATTAAGTGGCGCCATCTACTCAATGATCCTGGTATTAAGGAGACTCATATTCGCTGTCTTCTAAGCGCCATCTGTGCCGCTATACTAAAACTACGAACAGTTGTAGCTATCCAAATTGAAATGAAATCTTATGCAATATGTACTAGTTGGTGATATTTGTTATATTAAATTTATTTGAACTCTTCTACGTTAAGTGACATTAATTGAATTACTAAGTTTTGGTAAAGATTTAGTCAACCTACCATCTTGGTTAATTCCTGCCCCGTCGTACAGATGGCGGAACCAGACATATCTAGTATAAAAGTTGATTTCTATTCAAAATACAGACAAAGTTTTGCAAGAAGGGTTTTTGCTATAAAAACAACCAAAAATCGTATTAAATCAATAAACTTGTATTTGAATTTTGTGTAAAAGTCGACCTACATTTAAATATGTAGTAACTACTTATTAAATGTGTACAACCATTTAAGATTCTTAGGGTCAAAAATGTTTAAAAGGTAAGTGCAATCTATCACAAAATGTGATTTCTGAAAACACAATTCACATTATACTTTATCAAACTTTCTATAATTAATTGTAATTTAATTTAATTACATCGGTGATTAAGTAAATATTTTAATTAATTGTGCGACATTGGCCTTGACGGAGTCCTGCGGAGGACTGTCAAGCTGTCACTGGTGTCAGTGTCAGCGTGACTGATCAGTCTGTTCGTTAATTACTGATTAATGTGTAGAACAGTTGTTGCTCGCTTAATGACGACAGCACAAGGTCACTTTTGAAATTATATTGATTTACTTTGAATTGTCTGAGTGTTACCCTTGAGTAGCGAGTTGTTTTATTTTGTTTAATAATAAATTAAAGGACAAATTGACAAGATTTTGTTTTAAATGTTTAACTTAAGAACGACTATCACATAACTCTTCTAGCAATAAGACCTAGTAGATAATATGTTTGTATTTAACAAAAGTTTTTTTTAGGTATTATACAATCAACTTCATTGCACGGTCTAACAGTACCTACCCATGAAGTTTGAGTGAGGAAATACCGAACTCAGATAGTGACAACTTTAACATTTCAGTCAAATCATTTCAATGTCCCAATTTAAAATAATCCAACTGATCGCTAAACAAGGATTGCCTATTCATCATCATCATCATCAGCCCGTATTCGTCCACTGCTAGACCTAAGGCCTCTCTAACAGCACGCCACTAAGCTCAATTGCCTATTACATTTTTTATTAGTTTTTAAGGAAAAAAGAGACAACAAGATATAAAAACAGGGATAAAATTAGGGTGTAAGAGAGATATAAGATGAGTGTCGCGTCAATTTGTCGGGAAAACAAAACGTCTAGAGGAGTTTACTCACGAGAGGAGTTTCTATTATTTTAACTAATATAAGTGTAGTTTAAAAATAGGAAGTTACTCGTGTACTTAAGTACACGGAGAAGGGTAAGTGAGAACACGTGTTGGTTGTGTTCTTATGTTTGATCTCTTGACGCCTTGTCTCATGAATTGATCGCTAAGTAATTGGCCCTTAAATGTTTCCCTGAGTTCGGAGATTTTCTATTCAAACAACTTTGGAATCTTGATACCGTAATATGGCACTTAAAAGTGTTGTCCATATTATTATGTTGATGCAGACAATGTAGGAATGTCAAAATTATAAAAATAAACTTGTTGATTGTTAAGTTTATGTTGTATGGTAGTAAAAATACGCGAAAAGTTGGTCTTAAGGAGATTGTATAAAACATTTTTTTAAAAGAGTAACGATAGAATTTCTTTCTCGTTCTTCTCTATTCGAAACTACACTTTGGAACGAGCGAATTACACAGACAGACAGACGGACGGATAATTCTATTTTTGACGTTTCAAAAGTGCCTAATTAAGTATTATTTGAAATAAATACTTTGATTTGTTTTCGACTTTGAGGTTATCCTGAATGTTGTCATTCTCTGATTAAATTCTCTACTCCTACGTAAATAAAGGTATAATCAACTTTTTGCTAATTAAACATCAAATCTTCTATCATCAGTACAAACTTTAAGAAAACCTCGATCCCCATCACAATGTTTAACACGAAGACCATACACCAATATTTGTCAGCGTAGCTAAGCACCTGTCAAGCGGTGCCTACATGAGCATCCTCCCTTATAGCAGATAGACCGATCACCAACGATTACGGCGGGCGCGAGATTAGCCCCCAATTTTAAATTGTTGATTACTTTCCACCCCCCTCCTCCCCCTTCACCCCTCACCTCCGCCAGTCGAGCCTCAATGACAGGCTGTTAAATTTTTGAAAAATCTATCTCTTTGTGTACCGTTTGCAAGTGTAAATGTTATTTTGGTTAATGCCAGAAGTGTGTTATTGGTGGTCTATTGTTTTTGCAGGTTTGATGAAAGTGATACATTTTTTACTAAGTAGAATAATACAAAAACATTTTTTTAATAGTAAAATGTCTTACTATATAAAAAGTGTAGTTTAAAATGTTTTTTAATAGTAATAGTAAAAAGTCTTACTAGAGCGTCAGTATTAGTATATAAAGCTGTTACAAGATAACATTTTTGTATAGTTAAACGAACTGATGTGTGTTAATTGAAATTTTTTATAAATGACGTTTAAAAACCCGACTTCAAACCCCACTTTTTTTTAAAATCGGTTAATGAATACACTAAACCCTTCTCCTAAGTATAACAAACACTTATTCTTGAAAACTGCATCAAAATTGGTTTTGCCAATTGCGAGATAATCCCGCACAAACATAGGTACATACAGGTCGAACAGAACCTCCTTCTTTTTGTGTGAAGTCGGTTAAAGATATGGTTCTGTCTTGTTACAAAAGGGTTGAAGAATCTGATAGTATGCTTTTACATACCCACATTATAGTTTTTTCGATAGAGGTTTTAATTTAATACGTTTTTTTTTAAGCGGGGAAAATCATCGAATGACTACCCAGGTGGGCCTGGGTGAGGCGGGAGGGAGTGTCAGACTCTTACTGACTAAAAACCACTCCGTTCCTTCTCCTGCACGTCGAGCCGGATCCCCGTTTACCCGTTAGGTTCTCCGCGACAATTTAATACATATAAAAATGTGTTTAGTTTCAGTTTGTTGTGCGCACGGTACGAGGCGCTCATTCATTCAGTTTATGCGATAATATTAAGGTTCCGTATCTCGCTGAAAACACTTTTATTAGTTTTTGAATTTAAATTCCTTCAGCTATTTGTTTCGTGTCAACGAAATCCTCATCATTTCAGGAAAGTGATTTCTTTTTTTAATATTTTTCCGTGGAATAAACATTTTGTACAAATCTGTATCATTAGATTATCCAGGCAGCGGGATGGAATACTTAGACGTCCTTATTCGTTTACTTTCATACAAATTATATAAGATTTTATTACTTTTTATTTATTTTGGGTAATTATTTTCTAATCTCCATATTAATGATCTTTGGATAATTTCCAACTTTAACATAACATAATATCATGCCTTTTGTTCTCCAGGGGTAGGCAGAGGTGCACATTACGGCACTTAGTGCCAATAAACAATGTAACACCCACAATACACTATTTATGTTATGATTCTCATGTAATAGGGGGTAGGCCTATTGCCATTTACCGGGCACAAGTCCAGACTCCGTGCTACTACTGAGATTTTTTTAAAAACCTAGTAATACTTTGCACGGCCCGGGAATCGAACCCGAGACCCCTTGCCAGACCGTCGCATTTGCAAACAATCGGCCAACGAGGCAGCCTCAGTTCGAACTTTAACTACTTTTTCATTTTCAAGTACTTTTTTCCAAATGACAAAATCTATAGTTCCCTACTGATTTTAGATTAAAATGTTGATGTCATAAATGACTTAATTATTTTCAATTACTTAGAATAATATTACAATTAAACTCAGACCTAGATAATTCAGTTATTAATATTGTTGTTAATTTTAAATATTATAAAAACCTAACTATTTGAACGCGGTTTCACTGGCTCTGCTCGGCGTCTATTGGTCATAGTGTGATGTTTTATAGCCTAATAGACTTCCTCAATAAATGCAAACACATACATGTACTTACCTGTTTCAATCAAAAAGTCGCCCACGAAGAATCACAGACACCTATCCTCTAATATGTTTTGTTTAAAGGGTGAATAGAAAGGGCGCAACAAATTAGGAGGCCGTTTCACATCTTGACCACTTAGTTACCCCTATCAAAACGAGACAATCACTTCACCCCTCGCGACTAGTCGTTAGTCGCTGCGATTAGTCGCAGAGTCGGTATACAGCGGTAAATCTTGGCGGTCGTAACGTTAAGTGGGAAAACAAAGCCTTCGCAATGAACGTAGGGACTGTTCGTTTAATTTGGATAGATTCTGTAGTTTGTCTCGTCTTTGTAATGTGGTATTATGTGTGTACCGCGTGGAAGGTGACCCGATTATTGAGCACTATGTATTAGTTACTGACACAAAATTATAATTCTACTTATATTTTGTATGTTTTTATTGTATTATTTTTGTTAGTCTGTAAGTAGTTTTAATTATTAGTTTAAGTTTTCACTGTCTTCTTCTTGTTTGTTTGTTTTGTTTTTTGTTGTTACACACTGTCTTATATGATCTATTTGTTTCTCCTCTCGCAGGGCTGCAGGAAGAAATCCCATAAGGGATATGCAGTACCTATGTACCTCTGTTTTGTTATATATATATATATTTTTTTTCTTCTGTGTATTGTACATGAATAAATAAATAAAATAAATAAATAAAATAAATATATCTTCTCTTATATTTAAGTGTGGGAGAGCCATGCTTCGGCACAAATGGGCCGGCTCGACCGGAGTGATACCACGGCCGAGCAGAAACCCGACGTGAAGCAACGCTTGCGTTGTGTTTCGTCGTGTGAGCGAAGTTACCGGAGGCCCAATTACCCTCCCCTTCCCCAATCTTCCCAATTCCTGAATCCTCAACAATCCTCAAACTCCTAATCCCCAAAAGGCCGGTAACGCACTTGTAATGCCTCTGGTGTTTTAGACAATTTCATCAAATGCACAAAATTGGTTCATAAGTTTTGTTTAAACTGGCGTAGTGTATCCATGTCGTGGTGGCCCGGAGCTTCAAGACGCCCGCTTCACATGCATGAGAATGCGGATTCGAAACCCACTAATATGACTTTTTCCGAGTTATACCTATGTATTTACTTTCTAAGATTATTTAGACACTACTTATTATTTAGACAACGGTGAAGGAAAACATCGTGAGGAAACCTGGGCTTATAATTTCTAATTAGGTATACGTTTGAAATCGCCAACCCACATTGAGCACTCGTGTTGATTTATGCTCAAACCTTCTTCATGTGAGAAGAGGCCTTAGGTCAGCAGTGGCCACTTATAGAATAGAATAGAATAGAATAGAAAACTTTTATTTCAGACCGGAGTCCATAATTAGGGTTAGTAACAATTTTAACTTAAATTCTAGTGTTAGTAGGTTACATGAATTAAATTTCGGCATGGAGCCGTATCCACCTTCCCCACATCGGGGAATCCCACTGATCTACGAATACACTGAGAATGCTGTTGGTGCCGCCACGAACGCGAGCCATCAGGGACGCACATCTTTTTCTAATGATGGCGGAAAAACTATCAATATTATTATCTGCAAACATCCCTGACGCACTACATCGCCATGGCAGCCGCAGCAGCACCCTCAGTGCATTATTATACTGAACGCGCAGGTCGCTGTAGGCCCGCCGAGTGAAGCCGACCCACAGGCCGCACGTGTAAAAAGACTGACAATAGGCTTTGAAAAGGGTAACTTTAACCGGCTTCGTACAGCGAAATATAATTATAGGCTGTTGATGATGATAACGAACATTTCTGAACTAACTACACGTTACTAAAGTAACGGTAACAAAATTCTGTAAATTATTTCCGAACGACATCACATTAGAGTCGTGATATCGTACTATAGCAGGCTATCAATAAATTATAACTAATCGTCACTTCATTTAGTCCGCCATTAATTCCGTAACAGTTACAATTTCAATATTACTCTCACTAATAAATTACTCTCGAGCCAATAGTCCGCCCTATTCACTATCCGACACCTTTGCCAAACATATGCCTGTAAAGCGTGCTATTCATGCTGCGATTGTGTCGCGTCTTTTGTCGCTCGAGTTATTATTTGTTGAGCAACAATAAATAATGAGTTTAGGGAATAAAATGGACTTCCTGACCGGATGTATGGATGATTTTTAAGTGTATTGCGTATAATAGAAGGTGTTTCAATATTTTTTGCATACAGTAGGATTCGATTGATTAAAGAGCCTAATTACAAAAAGATTAACTTTAGCTTGTCAAGTCTTTTTAGCGATTATTATTTCTATAGTCAAACTTCTAGCTTTTCTTACATGCCTAATTAGATTTTGGAAGTAGGTATTGTAGCAATGTATGTGTAAATAAATACACATTAAAGTCAACAACTGTCGTTGAAATTAATCGCATAATAAATGGGCATTTTACACTTCAGCGACGAAATCATGCGTGCCATTACGCGCATTCATTGACCGACAATTTGTCTGGCCCATAACAATTGGGTCGGGAATCGAACCCGATACAGCAGATGTGAGTATTGACAAATTGTAACAAAAAATAAGTATTTAGCGTTTATTATAGGTTCGATGTGTGACTTGGGGATGTTTTGTGAAGTTGTGGAGATTCATTCAAAGATAACATTCGTTTTAATTGAATTTAACGAAGTTGGTTCCTTAAGACGATATTTCCGAATTCTAGTAAGAACATTGGGTTATTCAATATCTACTGATTTTTTACCTGAATTACGTTAAATCATTTTAGTCTAGTCACTGTATCGACATAGTTTTACACAAACAACACGTCATGTAGTCGCACTTACTAGCATTTCGCCTTTTCAATGCAGAACTTAAGAAGCTACACCGCGCCTTTGTCACAGAATCAATTCTCGATTCCTTTCAGTGAGTATACTTGGCAAAATATCGACAATATTACCGCCTTGCCTTGTTACCTTAAGCCCATACAAACGACACGTCCTACTAATCCGATTACCCGTAATAGATCGGCACCACTTTTCACACCGATTGTCCCTAAATATTCAATATTCTACAGAAACAACTTTAACAATACACTCCTAAACAACCTTATACGTAAGAAATAAAGATGATTTTAGTATTATAGGGGTGTATTTATAAGTTGGTGGTGTAATATCACCCATACAATTGTTATGGATATTGTAAAAGGGATTTTGTCGATATTCCAAAATGTGACGTTTGGATTGACAGTCGTTTTATTGAGGCAACGCTTAGTTTTTGTGTGTAAAATGTGTTTTTCTATGATATTTGTGCTAATGCTAGTAGTAATTGGGTTTGTGAAGTAATCCGACACACAATACCGTTTGTTTGGTTTATTTTTTGATTTTTGGGACAGTATGTCGCTCTTGTGACTTTGAGATGTCAGTATATTCTGTAATCGATACTTTATTCACAATTTCTTGAATAGATTATGTATGACAAAGCCGGTTACCAACTGTCAGTTTTTAGCTTACAAACATATACTTCCCATAATAATTATGCTTTTAAAAGAAGCTAGTTTAGTTGTGATACCTCATTGGACAGGAGTCAAGATTAAGTCCATTGGAAGACTATTGTCAAAACGATTCCTTGAAATGTTTATATCCAAGATAGTATTGAGAACGACCAGTAGACGTAGATTGCAAACTTTAGAACGAATAATACACAATTAAATTGTTGCAGCAAATTTAGAACCACATAGACCGTCGCAGACAAAATCACGACCGCACCCACCAACGCAGTATAATATAAAAGTGTCGCAAATATAAACCGCGGAGTTCAGTGAATTCAAAAGATTATAAAGGTGAATTAAAATAAAACAAACTGGTCATTGTGGCGTCAGGCTCACGGCGATATGATCTGCTTATCAACGTAAATTATGTCCAGATTATGGCAATAAAAACTTATTAAATATATATATTTGTTTACTGGCAATGTTGCAGCGATGCACTGCTTTTAGGAACGGTTTATATGTCGCCGGTAAATGTCGGTCTAATTACATATAATATTATATTTTTGTAAGTAACCTTTTAAAATAAAATAATAACCTATTTAAAATATTTACAAACGAAATAACTGTATATGATTATTATACACCTTAAAATTATGACAATAAAATAAAAACTAGCTTTAAACATCGAACAAGTTATCCTCATTATTGTCGTGTCTTAATTTTAGAAATTCTATTTTCTTGGTCCTTTTTAAAAAATGAGTAAACTAGGTATCGCAAGTTTCTGTCAACCCTTTGACACTTATAAGGGGCGGTAATTAACGGTTAATCAGTAATGGCGACTCTAAATCACATTTTTAATAGTGATAATTGAATCCAATTGACCAGACGGAAAGTAGTACTCTTCGTTTCATAACCCTCTCTTTCATCATCTTAGATTGTAATCTGTTATGATAATGAATCTATTCAAAATAGGTTTATCATTTATGAGAACAAGGACGTAAGGTAGTTGCCACAATAAGACATGGCATAACTCCCATATAAACCAAGGGAACACAAAGCTGTTCGACCGTAATACGCGCAGGAGTCGTACTTTATAAGAGCTTAGTTTTATACACACTACTATATGAGCCGGTAGACTAAATTAATATATTTGATTTTATGCCTTTGTTTATTCACTCGTAGAAGTGACCAAGAGTAACTTTACTTTTAAAATTCGATCTTTACGAAACTTATTTATTTATTTATGCTTTATTGCACACACAGGAAAAAATGTAAACATTGCAATAGTAATTTGAGTACAATGGGCGGTCTTATCACACGCGGCGATTTCCTCCAGACAACCTTTGGATGGAATTTTTGAAAAAAAAACTTAAGTGTGGGAGAACCATGCTTCGGCACGAATGGGCCGGCTCGACCGGAGTGATACCACGCCCTCACAGAAAACCGAAGTGAAGCAACGCTTGCGTTGTGTTTCGTCGTGTGAGTGAGGTTCCCGGAGGCCCAGCTACCCTCAAACTCCTAATCCCAAAGGCCGGTAACGCACTTGTAATGTTTCTGGTGTTCCAGGTGTCCATGGGCGACGCCGATTGCTTACCATCAGATGATCCGTCTGCTTGGTTAACGCCAGCCATAGCCATAAAGAAAGATCCTTTATTAATACGATGTATTTGTGTTTATAACGAGTCACATATCTTCAATGTATTGTACTAATCGATTACAATTACTCAATTACAATTATTGAATCAACATGGTTGACTTTAACACGCGTTAATTTATATAACCAAAACACATTACCATGAGCTCGCGCGAACAGCTACTTAATACGTTTAATGCAGAGTACCAATGTGTAGGTAATGTATCGAATGCATTCAACCAAAGCTATTATATTATAATCTGTGTAACTTGACCAGTAAACCATGTAATAATATTACATAATTTTACCAAAATACCAGGCAAGATGTGACTAAAGTGCGTATAATCCGGTTAGTTGGACATGTTTCAATTTTCTTGACATATTCGAACATGTTCTCAGTACTTCATATACAGTGGTGTAATTTGATTTGCTTTTGACTAGAAACCATTTTGTTTTGTGCACCATTCGCGGAGTTACTCCGTCGACCTATGTATTACTTGAATATTTAAGAATAATGTTGGATATACCTTTATTTCTGGTGGTAAGTCAGTGTGTCAATTATTTTTTTATTTGCATATGTAAGTGTGTAATTTAATTCATTTTGTCTCTGTCTGTTATTGTACTGTCCCTTCAACTTAAACACAACTTAAACTCACATATTTTAAGCATAATCCTATGCGTATAGTGACATTTGATTGGATATACAAATACAGTCGTACATTTCTAAATAGATAGGAATCTGTGACATGTGATAGTTTAAGTAAAGAATGCAGCAAATTTTCCAAATTAATAACCTTGTGTTCTTTATATCGCGTGTTGTTTGTAATTTTCTTCGCATTTCACATTACAGGTTTTACAAATTGGTTTAAGATCAGCACTCAACATTCGTGGTTACCATAGCAGTCCATCGCCACATTCCTTGTATTCGGGACAGACGAGGCAAACCAGACGAGAAGACGCTGACCTCTACCAACCACCACACAGCCACAGCTATGAATCAGACTCCGACTATTCCAGTGATGAAGAAGACCGCTTGAGTGTGTTACCACTATTGCCACCAAGAAGTTATAAAAGACGAAAACATTATTTGGGATATTCTGTCCCTGATTACGAAACAACGTTAGAATCTGCACCCGCAAGTAAACCCCACTCAAATAATTATGTAAAGAGATCCTTATTACCATCATCTGTACGGAATGTCGTACGCCGAAGATACTGGGACCATGCACCATATTTGCAACAAAGAGCGCCTAGTTTTAGTCAGCCACAAAGACGATCTTATGCAAACAGCCTTACGGTTACTAAACATGAGGATGGCAATAACATGCTTCACTCACTAGTATCACTTATCGGCCAATTAGGCAACGACGGTAAAACCCGTAAATATAACAGACAAGATGATACTTTAAGTCTCGAAGACAAATCTGATGAAACATCAAATTATGAGGAAGATACTGACAGCAGTTTGGAGTCTGTGGATTTCCACAACATGCGTTCATATTATTTTAGACAACAACCATCATATAAGCGACATAATTATCCTAAGGGATATAATGATAACAGGTATGATCTACAAAGCGTAAGGACACAATCTGCAAAAGATACTGCTGATGAAGCTGACGGAATCCTCGTCACTGATGACCGTAAACCATATGATGTAGTTACAATAGCAGGACCAAAATCAAAAGAATCTGATTTAATAATAAATAGAAACAATAATCAAGATCCCGATAATGAAGATGTGTTTAAATACAGAAAGAAAGGTAGTAGTTTGCCTTATTTTAGTGGGCTAAAACATATAGTAAAGAAAAGCAAACATTATACAAAAAATAACAAGAATATTGGTCGAGAATTGTTATTAAATGCTAAATTGGTACATGATACCGATAACGCTGACCAATTTACGAAATTGCGCTTGTCGAGTTCGGAAGAAAACTTTGATTCACAATCACATGGTAATAAAAAACCTAACCTAAGATTCTTGCTGTTACCGAATAGTGAATTAAATCTAGGTAGTAAAATTGTATCCGATTTAACAAACCTACTATCTACGGCTTTAGGGAAAGTATTAGGGAAACAAAACCTTACACCCAGCTTAAGGACGGTTGTTGATACATCGTACGGCAATGATAAAAGCTACAACACCGGTGGAGCTGAAACACATGGTTTTAGCCAGAATGTAAATTTAAGAAGCTACGATGACACTTCACTCTTGAAAAGATTACTTGTTGATAAGGCTGAAAGCAATTTAGTACCTTATCACGAATTCAAGGATCATAACAACGGAAATAAAGAGATTGATTCCAACGAAGAATTTAGTCTTGATACAGACAATGATAAAGATGAGGTATTAGTTGGTGTACGTTCTTTGGATATTGATTTACCAATTTTAGAAATTGATTCCGCACTTAGAACAAATCTGGATACTGAAGAGCTCGCCAGTAAATTTATGAACCTTTTACAGCTTGCACTTTCTATCGAAAAAGATAATATTACCAATGAAACGGTGAGCGAAAAAAACGGAGCAGCAAGCATATCAAGTGTAAAACAAAATAATGATATCTATGATGAATTCAGTCCTGATGATGCTGATTATACAAATTTTACAAGTTTAAGATCAGATAAGTTGACGAACGATGGCGCTGTAAGTTTGACAGACAAATTACACCTAGAATATCCATGGAACGGTCAGTTGAGTCCAAATAATGAAATTAAAAATAATGATCTCAGAACTGAAAAATCAGAAAATGTTACCGATGAACATCTTGGATATTCGTGGAATGATCAACTGAGTTCTGATAGCGAATACGTAGATAATACTCTTCGAACTCAGAAAGCAGAATTTACCGATGTACTCCATCTTGAGCATCCATGGACTGATGAACAGAGTTCCGAGAATGAAAACATAAGTAACACTCTTCGAACTCAGAAACCACAAGAATATACCAACCAATTACATCTTGAATATCCTTGGAATGACCAATTGAGATCAGATAATGAAAATGATAATAACTCTCTTCGAACTCAGACTTCACCAACTGAATTAGAAGTAGGAAGTAATGCAAATTCCACTAATCTATCATCACAACTGGAATTTCTCGAGAACGGTAAGCTAAATCCGGACAACGATTATGAAGATTATGCTCTACTCATGCAATATTTGCAAGATATGAATGATTTATTATATCTTGAATATCCATGGCTTAAGGATTTGGAACCCGACCGTACAAAGTTGAATAACACTCTTCGAAATCAAAAATCACAAACTGATAAACAAGTCAGAGACGCTGTAAATTCCACTAGTGTATTACATCTTGAATATCCTTGGAATGGTCAGCTGAGTTCAGATAATGAAAATAAAACTGAAGCTCTTAGGACAGTGAAACCAGAAAATTCTACGAATGTATTAGACCTCGAATTTCCTTGGAACGATCAACTGAGTTCGGACGATAAGAATAAAGGCAATGCTCTTAGAGCGCAGAAATCAGAAGGCTCTACCGATGTTCTACAACTTGAATATCCGTGGAATAGTCAGATAAGTCCAGATAATGAAAATAAAACCAAAGCTCTTCGGACAGAGAATTCAGATGATTTTACCAATCTATTACACCTAGAATATCCATGGAACGATGAGCAAAGACCAGACAATGAAAAAAAATTACTTACTTCTCGAAAGTTAAATACAAAACTGAGAAGACGAGAGGAAAAATACGTTGCTAGGGAGTATACCAATGTAGTAGACCTTGAATTTCCATGGAATGGTCACTCAAGTCCTGAGAGTAATAAACGTAAACTGAGGTCAAGAACCAAGTCTGATAAAGATAAAGATATAAAGAATTACAATAATGGACTTGAGTATCCTTGGAACGTTGACATAAGTCAAGATGAAGAAAATATTGGTAAGAAAGAGATTAAACATTCAGGTTTCAAAAATAAAAAATCACACTTGCGCAAGCGAAACAAACGTCCAGGACATTCCGGCCGAAGTACGTATCATGATGACAGTGATGATTTCGTAAGTAGACGCGCTCTTTCAAAAGCCATAAAACACTTGGAAAAGAAGTATGACGATTTAAAGAAAATTGTACTTAAATTGCCTTTAAACAAAACTGTCGCCCGCACAGATTCCCGAGTCACAGGTAATTCACACCTACAAAACCAGCCTATAGGTCCAGAGTACTATAATTATAATCGAAGGGTACAAGATGATGATGAACCACAACGGGCAACATGTATTCCCACATCGGAAGAAGAAAAAATAGTATTTAAAAATAAAAATTCAGACGAAGATGAAAATTCATCTGATTCAATCACATTCCCGTTGGACAGGCGACCTGTTGCTAGGCTGAGTGCTCATCACAAGGATGTGGACAGACGATCCGATTTATTACTAGAACCTACGGATACTCCAACTGATCCTTTATTTGACTGACTGCACGGTTGGCGCGGTGGCTGGCCAACCGGCTGCCGTGCAACATGTCGCGGGTTCGATTCCCGCACGGAACAACACTTTGTGTGATCCACAAATTGCTGTTTCGGGTCTGGGTGTCATTGTGTATGTGAACTTGTATGTTTGTAAACGCACCCACGATACAGGAGAACATCCTAACGTGGGGCAACGTTTAAAAAAATATATACTATAAACAAACGATATTGAGATTGAATTAAAGAATGATACAGTAAATTATGTATTTATAATAGATTAGGTCGGGTGGTCGGTATAGTATCTATGTATTAGTTTTTAGTGATTGGAACTCAAGACTGAAGATTTTTGTTGAGTTCTGGCACGAAGTTGTAGCGAGGAAATACTGTTTACTTGTGCAATGAGTATGATTTAGTGTAAGATTCAGGATGCATGTATTTTTGAAACGAGATTAATGTTTTTTAACCTTAATAAGTGATTTTGTGAGCACTATGGTAATATTTAATTACGTTATATTTTAGTAATAAACATTAAAAGTCACAATATGTCTTCCTTC